GAACCATTGCACAAATCATGTATAGCATTTCAATAAGTAAAATTCTTTTCCAGATTTATCTTCTTTTATTCAATAGTCCTCATGAATCAACAATCTCAATTTATCAATCATATAATCATAAATGATGTTTTCAAAATTGAATTCTGAATTATTGTCATGATTGGCTGAACATTTATTATTTGGAATCAAAAAATGGTTATGGGAAAATATATGAGAAAGTAAAAGTATATAATGGTGATTCACAAAAAAAAAAAAAATCATGAAAATACATCAAGTTTATCACTTTTATTAAAATGATGAAAAATAGGATGAAATCCATATACATAAAAGAATCCATATTATCAAAAAATCTGAATATAATAAGCAATTTTAATTAACCTTTCTAAATCATGCCTTTAGGTGATTAGGCAAAGAGTCTTTTTCGACATTTAATTTTTCTGAATTGTTAAAACTTATTAAGCCTGTTCGGATCAAACTTTGTACTCTAGGCTTGAAAGCAAGGTATGTTTCTATGGAGTGATCCATATTTTCATCATGGTAGTCACATGTAGCATTAATATTGTATCATTTAGAATAGAGTGGTTTCAATAACTCTAAAATGACTAGGGATACTACGTCAGTTTTAATCAATTTTAAAAATAGTTTAGTATAGATTATGGGGATAAGATCAATATAAGTTCTCTCTTGGTTGTCCCTAGATCTTCCCAAACTACTCATTTTATTGTAATGCCTTGCAACTGGTGTATTAACAAAACTAGGCTCATATGTAGGTGCTTGAAAAGTTGGTTGATAAAGACTAGGAATGATGTTGTTCATGGTTAGGCAATAAGGCTGGTAAGGGACTTATGCAATATTACTGGCTGCTAAGTGGTAAACAAGATAAACATATAGTGAATATAGAGTATAACTTCCAGATTGTTACCCTTCAAAACTCACCATTTAAGCTTTATCTTCTTCTTTCTTAGGCATCCCAACTTTTTTGGTATTGCTGAACTTTCATTCCTCAAGCTTGCCACTCTTGATGGTATTTTCAATAATCTCCCTTGAGATCACCATGTCAACAAAGTTCTTTGGTATATTCTTTATCGTCTTCTCATAGCAAGGTGCTTTCAATGTGCTAATAAATAATATTGTTGTTTCTTTCTTAGTCAGATAAAGTTAAACTTGAGCAGTCATATCACTCTATTGTTAGACATATTTTTTTAAGAACTCTCTTATCTTTTCTTCATACTTTGTAAAGAAAAACGACAAAAGCCAAGCTATGATGTGGTAATTTTAATTAATAAATGCCTAAGCAAGCTTATTCTAAAAGTAGATATGGGTTAGATCTAACTGAATAAACCACCTTACATCTAAACCAATAAAGCTATCTTGAAACACATGTATTAATAACTTTTTATTACTGGTTTAGGCAACCATTTTTTGATAGTATATGGTGACATGAGTTATTGAACACTTAGTACCATTGTATTTTTTTAACTCTAAAATTTTAAACTTTGATAGCATTACAACATCTGAGACCAAATAGAGGCCGACCGTATCCATAGAGCCATAAAAGTTTATACCTTCAACGGCTCGTAATCTCTCCTTCAGCAAGTTCATCTTATGTTTAGACCTTGAGTCCTTTAAACTTTCAACTGCCTTTAATTCTAGCTTTTCATTCTTTTTGCGATCATCTAAGTTAAGGACTAAGATTGACTCTATCAGTTTTTCAGCAAAACTTTAAAATTACCCCTAAGTTGGTGTAGATAACTTTTCTATGTAAGTGTACCTTATAAGAAATGTGAACTGCTATAGTGATGTACCTTGAGTGAATTAAGCCTGATATAGGCTATAGTTAAGAAAATATAAAGGGTCAACAACATCTTACGATGGATGGTCTTTAGGTCTAGCCCCTTCTTCTACAGTTTTCCCTTTGTTCAACTTGATTTGTTCTTTCAAAATTTTGTTTAATTCCCTTTTGAGCTTTTTTTGGGCCCTCTCCAATTTTTCAATACTACTTGCATTGTCTTGCTCCTTTCTTTTAGCTTAGACTCAAGTGTTATACTGGTGGTGAATTGGTCAAGTTATCATTAAACCTTGCTATACCATAATTAGGGTGCATATTTAGAGTGATATTTATGGAACTATCCAATTATACATAAGATTGAATGCAAAAAGGCATAAATGCAATAAGAAAAATTTAATGATGTGAATGCATGTATATACAATAAAAGAAAAAGGGTTAGTAAACATGATATATATAAAGAACAATATAATATATAAAAAAGTAAAAGGTTAGTATGCAAATAATATATATAAAGAAAATATATAAATTTACAAGTATAATAAATGTCCCATCATGTATCCTATTTAGGATTTTCTAACATAAGGGAAGTCATGGTTCTAATTTGAGTTCAAACCCTTAAGGTTTACTTATATGCTAGGTTCAAAGGTTTAATAGTCTAACGGTTTCTAAATTGTTCTTTACATCATTGTCCATTATAGACTAGTAAGGTATCTCAATCTCACTCATTATAGGCAATAAGAAGAAATGGTTAAATTTGAGTGAGAGTTTTTCGCTATCCTATATGGAGACATAAAATCTCATGAAGACGTGGATACTTTACTCTCTCATAAGGGATAGAACTCAGGTGTAAAACTCATGTTATACAAATGAATGGCAGATATATGAAAATGAATGAATGAATAAATACATAAATAAATAAATAAAATACAAACAACAAAGAAAAGAAAAAAAATCTCAAATTTATTAGATTAGGCTTGGATAACAAAAAATTATTTATTGGCTTGACTCTCAATATCTCCAATTAAGTTACCAAACTGTTATAACGTATAGATCCATATACTTACTATTAGACATAGACTAAAGGAGTCACTACCAATCTTTTTTGTATGATTAGTCATCTAACTGAATTTATCACATTTTAAAAGTGAGTCCCAAGATTGACTTGGGTATTTTTAAATAATAGATTCTAACCTATAAAATCATATTCTAGATTTGGAAATTCAATTACGTGTGAGAAAGGTTATAGCACCCTTACAGTATCTATCCAAAAGATGGTACCAGTTTGAATTAGATTATCTAAGCTTTTGTCATATTTATAATTTATCAAAATATTTAATATTGAAAATTGATCTTAAATTACTTCAATAGTTTGGTAACAATTTAAGATAATTCTCTCATCTCATGAGTATTCATGAAAATTAGTGTCTTATTTTGAAGAGGCTCTATCATTGGATTCATTAATATATTTTATTTAGAAAATAATCAATAAAATCTTTCAATAGTTTGATAAAATTTACTTTGATGTATATCTTTCAATAGTTTGATGAGATTTTATTGTAAAATTATTTTTTAAAAATGTATTAAATTTTTTAATAGTTTGGTAAAATTTAATTTCAGATGCAAATTCCCGAATAGTTTGATACGATTAAAATAACATATTTTATAAATTTCTTTTGTAGAAAGAATTTAATTTATGTTATTCTCCAATAGTTTGGTAGAATTCATAAAGATTTAAATTCACTATAAATCTTTTAATAGTTTGGTAGAATTCATGAACTAATTTAAAAAAATTTTGGTTATTTTTTATAAACAAATGAATAAAATAAAGTCATTAAAAATAATAATATAAATTGTTTAATTTCAGGTAATGAGTAAAATAATAATAATAAACAAAATCTAAAAAAATAATAATAAACAAAATAAACAAAATAAAATAAAAATGAAAATAAAAAATTATGTGGAAAAAGAAAAGGAATTACCTGCAAAACAAGTTCGATCCAAAGGCAGGCTGACACACAGATCATGTGAGCTAACGGGTCAAAGGTCTTCTCCAAAACGATGCCATTTTGGCTATGCTATATAAACAAAAAAATCTTTTGTTTTCCTTCAAACTTACCTTGGCCCTTTCTCTCTCTAAAAAATGCTCTTGTCTCTCTCTAAAACAACATGTTGGAAGCCAACCAAGATGAACCTAGTTTTTAGCACTGAAAATTCAATCTCTCATCGAAAACTTGAAACCTTTCTAGAAATCTATTAGAACCCAGATCTTGGCCATCGTAAAACCCTTCGACTGCCATGTTACTCTTTGAAAACTTCAAAACCTCATTGGAAAATTCATTAAAAAAAAAACCCCAAAAACCTAGATTTTTTCCCATAAATTCAAGTGAAAAAACTAAAAAAAAATCATAGTTTTCCAAATATTTCTAGATTCTTAAAAAATCAAACAAAACTAGAAACTTCCATAAAAAAAAAAGTCATATTTCCCCAAAAATTTCACTAGAAACTTCAATTCACAATTAAATCTCAAAACCAAAACTATTTCCCAAGAATTAAGACCTAAAACCAAATTCACCTTGAATTCCCAGAAGAACCTATTTAAACAACACAAATCCAAAAAACTCAAAATGAATCCAAAGCTTTTGATTTTTTCCTTATTTTCCAAAAACCACAAAATAGAAAAACCTTAGCCTTCCACCCAAAAACTCTTCACCATCCAATTGACTCTTTCAAAATTTTCAGAAACCAAAAAAACCCTAAATTCCTCCAATTTGCTGAAACCATATCCCCCCTTGTCAGTTTCTGTTTTTTTTTTTTTTTTTTTTGTTTCTTCGTGTATAAATTATTTATATAGGGCTTAACTCCTTTTAATTCAAAAAAAAAAAAATAACTGGATCAAATTGCTAAAATTTGAGGTTTGATTTCTGACTATCCAAAATTATTCAATCTATTATTAACTTCCCATGATTTCTATTATCTGATTCTACCCAATTTGATGTCTAGGACAATTCTCAAAGAAGATTTGATTTTGTTTCCAATTCAATGCAAACATAATTTTTGGACAAATTCCTGATTTCGTTCTTCCCTTTTTTTCTTTCTTTTTTTTTTTAACTTTTGACTTTTTGGTTTTGTTGACTTTTTAAAGAAAAATGAAATTAAAAAATAAATAAATAAACAAAACAAATTAAATTAAATTAAACTATACTAAACTAAAGATTTCTTTTATTGGGCCGAAATTTTCCAATGAATCCAATTTACGACTGAAAGCTTGTTTTTCGTTTGAAAAAATTCGGACAAAATGAAATATTTACAGATGGTGTTGTCACTAATGATCCTGATATATTTTTGTTTGCAAGTGGATAAGTGAGCCTTTCGCATCAGGAAGGCGAAATCTTTTTGTTCTCCGCAAGTGAGTTGCCTTACATTTAGCTCTTAACTTTTAACAAAATCAGTAATCCCATGTTACTTGCCTCTAAAGTATGTTCTGTCTTTTAGAAAACATTTTAAGAAGACTTCTAATATAAACACTTTTGGGGTTCTTTCTGTAGTATGTTATGTATGTGATAATTGTTTTCTGTTTTGCTTTGATTACATGCAGACTGTGCTGTGAGAAGTTTGGCAGAAATCAGACAAGTTGCTACTGCCTGTTTTCAAGTGAGTACGAAAAACGTTAGGTTTGAGACTTTTCCCTCTCCATATCATTTCTACATGGTTGTGCACGTGATGCACTTGAAAGCATTTGCAGCATCACCTAGTAAAAAATCAAGAATAGAGTGGTGACCGTTCATGCTTCTTTATTTTGTGATTGTTGGTGGATTTATCATAGATGAAGTTACTGATACCATATATTTTAACTTGTTCATTGAAGACTCAATTGCGACTGGAAGCGTTTTACACTTTCAATGAGAGATTTGTGCAAACTCATACCAAGAGAATTAAGAAAGTGGTTAAAGGAATCACCAGAAATCAATCCTCAGAATTGATAGATGATGCCATGCAACAAGTTCCTAAAAGTAGGAAAAAGAGAAGAGTTGGACCAGTTCCAGGTGGAGAAAACAAATCAGGGGAACCTTCAAACAAGAATGCGGACATAGGTTCTCATTGTCGAAGAAAATCCTTGGAAAAATCAGTGCCCAAGCCACCAAGGAAAAGCCAGAACCCTGGTAAGTATGCTATACCTGTGATGAGCACTCCAGAACCATCTTTGCAGGCAGCTTGCGGGCAAAAAGCTATTAAACAATCACCTGGAAATGGAAGAGGTAGAGGTAAGCAAATCCTGATTTTGAGCATTCTGAAACCAGCTCTTCTGCTGGAAATGGTGGCAAAAATTGTCAGGAAGTTGATGGGGAGAAGATAGATCAGCCACAGGTAGAGCGAAGGGTAAGCTTTCCTCCTTTTTGGGTTTTCCCCGTTTAATTTGCCCACATTAAAAAACTCCAATTTAACATTTTGGAATATAATGGGTTGCTTCAATCCTATTTGTTTATTCAGTCTACAAGAATTATTCAGAGCAGCTAAATTGTATAACAAACTTTGTATATCTTGTAAGATGAATATAAAGAGAGAAAGCTTTGTTAATGGCGATCACAACCAAATATTAACTTTTTGCTCTTGTTCTTCATTTCTCATTCCTTCTCGCGAGATATGTCGGGGGAAACATTAAAAAAGCAGGGTCATTCAGCTCTTTGGAATCATCTATTTCCCCTTGTACCTCTAGAGAGCCATCAGTTCTGATTTGCACATCTTGTACATCTATTAAAGTAGTTGGTATGACACTTTTCTTCTTCTTTCCTGTAAATTCCATTGGAGCATGAAGGAAATAACCTTCAGTTTCACAAGTTTCACAGAAGTTCTGCCACAGCTAAAGCAAGCTCTGCTTCCATTCCAGTAAAATAGATTGCCATTAAACCTGTTCCCATGCGGGGTTCTTGGCATATGAGCCAAAGTTTGTCAAAAATAAAAGAATATAAGAAAAGTTTTCTGATATATCAGTGACAATCTTGTTCGTAAAAGCACTGTGTCAAAAAGAAGATTTGGACTGTAAAGCCAATGTCCCAGGCTGGCAAAACTGTGAAAACAATATGAGCTTAGTACAAACCAACCATGCTTTCCAGGATATTGTATATCTCATCAGTTCTAGGATGTGTCTTATCAACAGAATAGAATTGATGAACTTGGCTATCAACCTCAATCCAACTGCAACCCGGGGTCTTATAAGTATTCTGCTCCTTCAACTTCTTCCTTAACTTGCGTACATCATCCCATTTCCCTAACTCTCCATATAAATTTGCCAACATGATGCCATAACCACCATTGTTTGGGTCAATTTCAATCATTTTTTTTACTGCAAGCTCTGCCAAATCCAAGCGACCATATATTTTACACCCATTTAGCAATGAGCCCCAAACAACCTCATCAGGTTCCATCTTCATACAATTAATGACTTCCAATGCTTCTTCAAACTTTCCTGCCCTACCAAGAAGATCGATTAAACAACCATAGTGATCAATCCGAGGTTCAATATTGTAACTACTAGTCATCAACTCAAAATAAGCACGACCTTTTTCAACCAATCCTCCATGTGTACAAGCATTCAACAGACTGATAAAGGTAATCTCATCAGGTCTTATATCATCAACTCTGCAATTGATCATCTCCTCAAACACACTAATTGCCTTGTCACTTTGTCCATGTAGCGCTAAACAATTGATTATAGAGTTCCAAGATGTCAAGTTTTTCTTGGAACTCATTTCAAAAATCCTTTTTGCTGTTTCTAAGCTCCCACATTTCCCATACATATCTATCAAAGCATTAGCTACTAAACAATCATTACCAATACCATTTCTATAAACATAACCATGGATTGATTTACCAAGCTGAAACATCCCAGTGTTTCCACAAGCTGATAGACTGCAAACAACTGTAACCTGATTGGGCCTATTCACTCCCTCTTTTCCCCCCATTACCATCTTTCTCAAGAGTGAAATAGCCTCAGAAAAGAATCCATTCTGTGTGCACCCTGCGATAACAGCATTCCAAGAAGGAACATCCCTATCAGGCATCTTCTCAGAAAGCAAAACAGCCTTTCCAACATCCCCTACTCTCATATACCCAGAAACCATAGCAGTCCAAGACACAACATTCCTCTCAGACATTTCATCAAACAAATCCCTTGCAATCTCAATGCAAGAACCCGTCCTCGAATACGAATCAACAAGAGCCGTTTGAACAACTGGGTATTGTCCAAAACCCGATTTAAAAATCTGGGTATGAACCAGTTTTGTGCCATTGGACTCCAAAACCTCAGGAGCTGATTTTAAGACATGAGGGTAAATAAAATGGTTGGGAGTTGGCTTCCCCTTGCAAAGCATGTGACGATAAAGAGCAAATGCAGAGGTATGATAGTTGGGGTGAGAGGCATAAGCTGTAATCATGGCAGTGTATAAGTAACTATTGGGAGCATAAAGATGATCAAAGAGTAAGCGAGCATAATAAAAGTCGAAAATCTTGAGTGTGCAAAAACGAACCAGCTTGAAGATGTAGAATTGGGTTTGGGACTGGCCGTGGGTGATGATGAAGGATTGGAGTTGCTTCAGATGGTTGAGATGATTGCATTTTTCCAGGATTGCTAAGAAATGTTGGTTCATTTTTAGTTGGCTTAAACCATTCATGAAGCATGCCTGTTTGTACCGTCTATTCTAACGGAAATAAGTGAAAGCTTTTGAAAGTTATGACGTTTGGTTCAAATATAAAAAAAAAAAAAATTCTCAATTAAAATTAAATAATATCCGAATCTTTATTATTTTATTATAATAATTAAAACTTCAAATAACTATTTATACTTAATTAAATCTTTTTAAAAACTCCGTACGTAAAGTTTTCGTTACGCGCATCCAAAAAAATTTTTATTTTTATTTAATTGAGCCTTAAAAAAATAACTCGGTACGTTAAACTCCTATTATGTGCGACATTCCAGAAAATGTTGAACAGGTGCTATGTGGGGCATTCGAGAAAAGATTGTTTTCATTAGTTGAACCTATGACCTCCAATTCACGTAACAGTAACCTTATGATTGCGTCAAGAATCCGCTCCCCTCAATTGAACCTTATTGAATGAAAATTGATTAACCACGATCATCAATTTCATCCACTGAAAATTCAACTGAATGCAAATAAATTTTTAAGAATTTAATTGCATAAAAAATAAATATTTAAGAACTCAGTGAATTGTTTAATGATTATTTAATTTTAATTTAGGAGTCATTTATAATTAAGCCAAAAGATTTCCATTAGTTTCCTTTTTTATATATATTTAATTAGTTTTTAAACTATTTATGGTAAGAAACATACCTATTAGTAGTTCAAGTCACGAGGCCAAAAGACCACTACTCCTGGATCTTCTAGAAAACAGTTCAATTATAATTATCTTCTAAGCTAGAAAATTTGCACATATAACTAAAATCGAATTATTACAGTCCCAAATTATGAAGATATGATTGTAAATTTCATCTACAACTTGTCTCTGGTCATTTTATCTGTACCAGTATGCTTATTAGCATAATCAAACATGAGTTCTTGGAGACTAAGACCAAGTATTGTAGCTGCTTCTGTCCTACACTCGGTAAGAAATTCGTATCAACTACAATTGTAAGCAGATAATTTGCAGTATCTAATTTTTTTTTTCAACCTGTTTATGGAGTTTTTGCATTATCTTTCAGCTGTTGTGCACAAGTATGGGGTGTACGGCTGAAGGGGCCTGGGTATGTTGCAATTTTCAGGCCATTGTCAATTGTCATTGCAGCAGTTATGAGTGCGATATTCCTTGGTGATGAATTGTATCTTGGAAGGTAATTAAAACTATCTCTTTTAAGTTTTTTAATATTACTAGTTATAATTAGTAGTATCATTTCCAACATGCTGCACATCCCTACTTTTGTTGGCCATTCCTTCTATAATCACAAATTGACAAGCCTGATTCAATCTTAATGTTGTAGTGCCATTGGAGCATTGATCTTATCAGCTGAGATTTATGCTGTATTACGGGGAATAGCTAGAGAAGAAGAGAGGACTGATGATGATGATTCCGGACTCTTGTCCGGTTCTAAGGTCCCTTAGTTGTGAAGAAATGTAGCACAAAAGTTTTTACAGGAAAACATTACTGTTTACCGCATTGTTCAATGATTCTTCCCTCGTTTCATTCAAATGCTAAAATATCAATGAATTTGTTCAATGCCTTTGAAAACAATGTAACCAATAAGTTTGATAAAAGTATAGAATTTAGCTTGTTTCTTTGCTTGAACGACACTTCTCTTCGTGGATTGACAATGACAGCTCGGGTCAACAACCTTTTCTATTTAATAAATCAGTTGAACCTGCTAAAGAGAGATGAAGGGCCCTCCAACAATGAAAAGAAGGATCGTCTTCAGGTGGATATGAAACTAGGTAGTTCAGAAGTTGCTTATTATGTTCCAGGGTATTTGTGTTTTCTGAATTGTTTTTCTTTAAAAGCATCAGGTATGTTTATTTTCATGGCTGTCATTCTCCTGGGAAAGACCCTTTACATTGTCAGGTATAATATATGTACTGCCCCAATCTCACGTCTGGATATTGGGAGGTTCTGTTATATTATATATATGGAGACTTGCATTCATAACATGTAAAACGTTTTTTTTAAGATAAAATCGTGAAAATTTCAAATCAAAATGACACTACCTTGCAGGTTGGTATAAATCTTCACAATATGTGTATTAGGATATATGTATTTTGTTTGCTAATATGAGTTAGCTATAAGCATAGGCCATACTCATGGCATTTAACATTGTCCAAATGCGGCTTAGGTAAATTCTAATAGTTTTTTTTTGTAATTATTTAAGTAAATTCTAATGGTTTAAATTATTTTCTTGTTGGTTTTAGAAAAGACCATAAAAACATCACATGTTTTTTTTAATTATTTAAATAATCAAGCATTTTCAAATGACTGATAGAATCCTACCTATCCTAGAAGATACTCTTCATATCTTTTTGAAAATTGAATTTGATTAAACCATCAGAATTCAAAGGTTTCCCAATCAGTTGATTTTTCCAACAATCTGATTGGTTTCCTGGTTGAATTGGTATAATAAGTGTGATCATGCATGGCTTCATGAAACCGGACTAAGATGAACAAGTTTGTTTAACCATTTTCCACATTGTCAACAGTTCTAGCTGACTTTATGGTAACATTTTTTTGTAAACAATCTGACCATCTAAAAACTCTAAAAATTTAATAAATAGAAAAAAGAAATATGTGCTGATCAATTATATATTCATGGGAATCAGATAATGTTTTGGCGCAAAACCACATTCAGTCCAATAACAGGATTCAATAATCACATATGATAGTACAGGGAAACTAATTAAAATGATATGTTAGATATAGGAGAGGGAGATGGCAAGAAGATATGGCTACAAGGAAGTCCTACCATGCACGGCCATGGTTGCAGTAGAGTGTTCCAATGTAGTCATAAACATTCTATTCAAAGCTGCTTCATTGAAGGGGTTGAGCTACTACGTCTTCATCGCCTACTCTCATGTTTTAGGCACCCTTGTTTGCCTTCCTTTAATCTTCCTCTTTAATAGGTCTTTTTCTCTTTTAATTCTTCTAATAATCAATGAATAAATGTATATTTTCACCGAATTTCATTTTAAAAGTTTTGCTCTTACATGTCTTCTTTGTTTGTCTGATGTCTGCAGACAAACAGCGCTTCCTCCTTTGAAGTTCCCTCTCATCTCTAGAATTTGCCTTCTTGCTATTCTTGGGTATGTATTGAAGTACTCCATTCTACACATAAATCTGTAAATTTCTGTTTCTTCAATTCATTTGATGTACTATTTTTTTATAGTGATAAAGAAAGAAAAAAAACCCCATGATTTTTTTATCTTTTTGAGACAGGTATTCAGGTACGATATGCTCATATAGAGGTATAGAACTTGGCTCTCCAACTCTTGCTTCAGCCATCAGCAACCTCATACCAGCTTTTACCTTCTTACTGGCTGTCTTCTTCAGGTTTCTTCCTTCTTCCCTGGTTTTTCATCAATTTTACTATTGTTTAATGTTTATGAACCTTCTATGCGTGAGCTGGTTTCCTGAGTCCTTTTCTTGTCTCCTGTCTTTGGACATATCATAACAAGGATGGAAAAAGTAGCATTTAGAAGTCCAAGTACTCAAGCTAAAATCATTGGCACCATAATATCAATATCTGGTGCATTAGTGATTGTTTTCTACAAAGGCCCCAAAATTATTTCCTCTGTTTTACTTCAATGGCCTCTAGGGTCGTCTCAATCAAATTGGATCGTCGGAGGCCTCCTAGAAGCTGTTGCATATCTTCTTTATTCATTCTGGTATATTATTCAGGTAAAAATAAGTTTCAAAGCTCCACCATGAATTCTGTAATATCTTACATAAAACTAAACTTGAATTTTATAGCACTTTACAGTCCCAAGTGATGAAGATATATCCAGAAGAGATTGTTGTAATTTTCTTTTGCAACTTGTCTGTGACCCTTATATCTCTACCAGTAGGCTTACTAGCAGAGCCAAACTTGAGCTCTTGGAGACTAACAACTAGTATAGCAGATGTTGCGGTCCTCTACTCGGTAATAATAGTAATCAATTGCAATTGTTCAACTACATAATTTGCAGTATCTCTGTAATTGAATGTAACTTTCTTCCGCACTACTTGTTTAGGGACTTTTTGGATCCTCATTTGGCAATGTTGTTCACATATGGGGCGTACGCTTGAAGGGGCCTGTGTTTGTTGTACTTTTCAAGCCAACTTCAATTGTCATAGCAGATGTTATGAGCGCCATATTCCTTGGTGAAAAAGTGTATTTGGGAAGGTACTAAAACTCTCCCTTTATATCATCCAAACATGCTAAACATTTCTACTTTGGTTGGTCAATCCTTTTATAATCACAGTTGACGGGCCTGAATCAAACTTAATTTTGCAGTGCCATTGGAGCTGTGATCATAACTGCTGGTCTTTATGCTGCATTATGGGGGAAAGCAAAAGAACAAGAAATGACAGATGATGACTCTGGTTTAAGCACCTTAGGACCCCTGTCTCGTGGTACGGTCCCATTGCTGCAAAGCTAAAAAGTTGGTGAAATGTAGCAGAAATGTTTTAGCCATTTAGCATGGGGCAATGGCCAATGTTTTCACACTCATGGGCATGCGAAAACATCAATGTTCAATGCCTGCAGATATTGGGAACAAAAGGTTTAATGAGTTTCTTGGATCAAAGTTGAGAACATTGTACTTCAGCTTTCACCAGAAATTACGTCTGTGATAGTTTATATCAAAAAAATTCTGATCAAATAAAGCCCAAAAAATTCATGCATAATTGAAAAACAAAAATGAATCAGCCCAACTATGGATGAAAATCAGCAATGACCAACCTCTTAAAATGAGTTTCATTTTTTTGGTGATTGAAAAAGATTAGAAGATTGTTATAAAAAAAGCCAACATTGTTTATCTTTTGGAGACAGGTTTTCCGGTCAAATATACCCATTATAGAATATAGCTCACCAACTCTTGCTTCAGCCGTCCGCAACCTCTCACCAGCTTTTACCTTGATACTCGCTGTCCTTTTCAGGTTTCTTGCCTTCTTTGATCTCATCAGTGTTGCTTTTTCCATGCATATACAGTTTTATCTCAAGCATAATAATATTCCTATACTCCTATTAACTTCAACTTCATACAAACTTGCTATGGAAAACGTGGAAATCACAGTAATCATCAATTAAAATGCTCCTGTCGCTTTGTTTTTGCCTTTGTTTATTCATTAAGGACATGATATTTGATCTCCATATTCTCCCCCATGTGAAGGAAAAGAGGTTCATAAAGAAGATTATCATAATAAAGTGAGTGTGGATTAACCTTGTAATCTTTTGTGAGTAAGCGATTTATAAGTCTAAAAAATCCGCAAATAAAATTCAATAAATCCATAAATTTCAACTGAATTGACTATTTATTTAACTTAGAAAATGAGATAGTTACACCTGCTCCTAAACTAAAAAAAAAAAAAAAAAAGTGGATTGAAAAAAACAAAGAAAATGATTGAGTGGAAAATAAAAACATATATTGCATGTCAATGTCAAACAGAAATTTTATAATTTTCTTTCAACTTGATTGACTAAAATCACATTCCATCTGTTGAAGAAAGCTTATGAGTGCTGTAGAAGTGACCATGGACAGGATTTGATATGACCACATGCACATGCCCTAAATCGTCTTGAGAAGGATACCATAACAATTACCAAAGGATGGAAAAAGTAGCATTGAGAAGCCGAACCATTCAAAGCTAAAATAATGGGAACTAGACTATCATTATCAAGTGCATTAGTAGTTCTCTGAAGGGTGAGGAGGCCAAAAGGAAGATTCTGGTGAGTTATGAGGGTTTTTAACACTAATGGTCGTTGACTGACGGCGGCAGATAGGGAGGATGTTGGTTTCGTATTAGAAACAGGGTATTTGGGATTGAGAGAGAGAGCGGTGAGGCTTTTAGAGGAGAACAAAATATAAAAAGAGTTTTTATATTAGACTAAAAAAAAAAAAAGAGAGAGACTTCGGATTGCTCAAAACCAAACCCGAAATCTGTACGCCCGACTCAAAAAGATTGCATGTCAGCAAATAAGGATGTGAAAAAAAATTAAAAAAACAAAAATTAATTTAAAATTATAGTATTTAATTTCATTTAAATTATTTAATTATTTGATTCGAATCAAATTTGAATATTAAATATATATATTAAATTTTGATCGAATTTGAATCGAAATAAAAAAAAATTTTAAATCGAATCGAATCAAATTATATATTTTTATTAATTTTTATATATTTTTTAAATTTTTATAAAATAAAAATAATTATTTTATATATAAATTTATTTAAATAAATTAAATTTTTTAATAAAATAATATATAAAAATTTAAAATTTAAATTTTAAAAAATAATAAATCGAAATGAACAAAACCGATAAAACTTAGACATAGAGCAATTATAAGTAAAAGAGATAATTGCCTTTTTATCATAAAATCAAGATTTCCAGGGTCTAACAATTAATGAGAATGAAGGGTTACTAACCTCATTTATTTAACTAAGTAACGGGCTAATGACATCAGTGGTGGATCAGAAATTTTTTGTGTCCACTTATAACATATAAAAATAACAAATTTATTAATATTATTAACAGAAAGAATGTTGAGGAAAAAAATTTTCAATTTTTTTTTGTTTTTCATTTTTTGAAGTGTTAAAAAAATTTTATCTTGATTTTTTTTTCATTATCTTTGAGGATGTTTTATTTGGATCCGCCCATGAATGTCATTTGCACCTACCAAATAAGGGTGATGGGGCTGTTCTGGCTAGACAATGGTTTACTCCCTTCTGGTTTGAAAAAGTTTGTTCATGTTAACTTCGTTCATCCGTGTTTGAGAAGGCCCACCAAATTATATATTCCACAGAACAATGCAGTTTCAAATATCCCACCCTAATCCCTACTAAAATAGTTTAAACTTATCATCTACATATATATATATATATATGTGTGTGTGTGTGTAATTTTAAAAAATGTGAATTATAAAAGTGTTAATAGTAATCTATTTAAATATTTTTATAAATTTTTAATTTAATAAATTTATTCTTAAATATATAACTTTTATGCATTTATTTAAGTTTAATTTAAATCAACAAAAATTACAATTAGAGTTTATGTGAAATTAAACTTTTTAAAATTTTAATTCCAAAAATATTAAAAGTGATTGGTTAAAATATACTTAATAAATGTTTTTATAAATTTTAATTTAAATGAATTTTTTATTATTAGACTCTTAATAAAATTTTAATTTAAAAAAATCTAAAGTGATTGATTAAAATATCATTAGTAATATTTTTTATAAATTTTAATTTAAATGATTTTTTTAATTATTAGACTTTTTTTTATAAGTAAAATAATTTTTCATATCAAATTAAAGTACAAATAGAACTAGATGAAAACTTAATAGACATAGAAATAAAATAATTGTATGGAATTTGTTTATTTGGTAATTGTAAAAACAATTGTATATGCAGTTTATGTTGATAAATAAATTCATTAAAAACAACCATAATTAAGTTATTGAAGCATATTTATTTTTTTTATTTTTTATCTTTCAATTTTTTGTTTTAATATATTAACTATACATATATGTTAATGATTTTATTATTTATATATTTTATAAATTGATCATTTGATTATTAATAACATAATTAATCTTTTTAGTCCCTTAAAATAACTTTTTTAATATATAATTCTTACAGTTAGTCTTACCTCTATAATTAATTTCTCTTTTTGTATTTCTTTTCTATAAAATTTTATAATTGTTATTCCTATGAACAAAAGCTAATATCAAATCAAATGAAAATCAATTATATCACATCTACCAACAATTACCACTATATGATTCATTGAATACTTTAATTAAATTTTTCACTTCTAGAATTAGATGATTTAAAAGGTGATAGAATTACTAGTAGCTCAATATTGAGTCTCATCAAATTACTATAAGAATTATTCACATTGATTGAAACAATAATTTATTTAATTTTCTCTTAATTTTTATCTTAATATGCATATATACAATTAATTTATATATCAAGATTATTTAATTTTTCTCAATTGTAGTAAATTCAAGATTGTTAATATCATACCGGATAACATTTCGATTTTTTTAAAAAATATAGTATATATCGACACCAGTTGTTTCGACATATTATTTTGAATTTTTTGGTTTAATACAAATATATTTATAAAGATATATAAACTTGTATATTATAATATTATTAATAATCTACAAAATAAATAAGCAATATATTCAAAAATCAAATAAACAAGCTTAATAGAATAACAAATAATATAATAAAATTTTCATGATATTTTTAAACACTTAATATGATCATATGATATTTAAATAAGTATTTTTCATATAAATATTAAGATAAAAACAAAGAGAGAAAAAAAATTAATCAAGGTTTTATAATTGTTAAACTTTATAAAAGGAGTATAATTGTTTTCTTGAAAAAAAATTGAAATACTTATAAACTTTTATTTTAAAAAATTAAGTATAAAAATAATTAAAATAAAAAATAAAAAAATTCAACTTTTAAAGGTTATTTTATCAATTAATTTTGTTTTTATTAGGTTAAAAACAATTAAATAACAAAAAATAAGTAAAAACTTATAAAATATATTTTACATTCACGCATTGGCCGAAACATGTTATTCCACCAAAATTCACCGAAATAGGCCGAAACTAACGAAAATAATCGATATTACCTAGTACCAAATCCAATACGAAAATAATCTTAAAGTGTATCATATTTTTGTATAACTACTGGCTGGTATTGAAATAAAATTAACAATTATGAGTAAATTCCTCACTTTTTGGCATTTAGATGATTGAATGACCTAACATGAATTATTTTAAGTAAAAAAAATCAAGTGAAGTAAAATTAATTATTTTGGTGATTTCTTTAAAGGTGTAATAAAATTTATTGAAACTATCTTTTGAATATATTTACGTCAAAATTACATTCATTCATAAAAATTTATGTTGTTGATGCTGAAAATAAAATTATTATAGATTGTATAGGTATTATATAACAAGTATATTATTTTTAGAATTAGAATTTTTTGAAGAAAATACGAGAAGTACCAAGGTTAGAATTTTATTTTATTTTATTTTGTAAAATTATATGTTTTAATGTTTTATATACTAAATTTTTTTAAATAAAAATTTAAGCTTTTAATTGATAGAACATACAATTACATTCAATTGATGGAAACACCAATGGAAAATTATTCTAAATAGAAAATTGAGACGAAAGATTAGGGATGGCAACGGGTCATCTCAAGGGGAATTTTTGCTTGCCTCAAACTCGACCCAAACTAACCCAATGATTTTTTTACTTTTTATACCTTACCCGACATGATATTATGGAAAATCATATCTGATCTGAACTGACCCAAAATTAATAAAATATTATTTTTTAAATATAAAATATTATTTTTAATATAAATACAAAATTATATATAAATATAAAATTAAATAATTAATTAAAAAATAATTTTTTTATATATATACCTAGTCGGGTCAAGGTAAGTTTGTCTAAAACTCAACCCCGACTTTATTTTACATTTACTTAACCCAACCCAACTCAAAACTCGATTTTCAAAAAAAAAAATTTGACTCTAAGATAACGGATTGAGTCGGAACCCATCAAGCTCAAGTTGGGTTGCTATCTCTTTGAAAGATTGATTAGTTATCCATATGACAAAGAAGGTTAGTAATATATGATACTTCAATGAAAAACATATAAATATATTGACTTCAAATTTCTTTAAAATTAATATAAAACTATTTTATTTGAATAAACACTACATACTCATTCATTTTTTCTTTTATATATCAACTCAAGAATTTTAATTGTTGTATCAAAATTTTTAAGATTGTCATATTAGATAATATTTGTTTAAAAGAATTGAAATTTATCAAATTAACGATCACTTTACATCTAAAATAAAAAATTATTATAAATTATAATTTAACTAAACTTAAAAATGATTTAATAGCATTCATTAGCAAAATTCATTCGATAAATCTTTATTTAATTATGTATTTAATAGTTTAATTATTTTAAATTTTAATTTTTTATAATTTCGAATTGGA